TAACAACTGAATCGAAGCACCTCTTGCTGCATATTTGTTCCCGCTGTCTGTGCTGAGTCACTGGTGGGGAGTTTGAAGACTTGACCATCATTCGCCAGCATAACCATTTGGTTTCCATCCACAAGAGACTCGGCTTGTATGTCAACTGCGATGGCACTTTGCTGAAACATTTGGATAAGAGCACAGTTTGCCTGCTCCGATACCATGTTGATTCTGCCTGCAGGTTGTTGCACGCAGAGTGGGAGGGTCTGGGTGCGGACGTTCGAGACAGCCGGCTCGAGATTCTGAAAGCCAAGATGAAGGAGTGGGTGGCACAGAATCAGGCAGACTTGAAGGAGTTGAATAAGGTCCAATCGTCGCCCCTTCCAAAACGAGGTCGCAGCAGCAACCTTCGTCTCGGGTCGAGCAGCGACAACGATGACGAGAAGTCTGACAAGCAGGGCGAGGCCGAGGCATCCCCGGAACCTGGCGCAAAGCCACGTGCAGGCAGCACAGGCAAGAAAAAGCCAAAAAGAGACGATCACAAGGAGATGCTCTCGCTCCACAACAACGCCGACCTTTTCCGTGGTGGACGCTTTGGTCCTCGGAAGGAACCCACGGACAAGAAATGTAGTCCGCCGGATCGGGTTCCTGACGCCACTTGTTCTATTCGGCCTGTGTTCTGTTTCTTCTGCTCCTTGTTGTGGTCTTTTCTGCTGCAACGGATGTTTTCTCACCTAAGGTCGCTGCGGAGAAGGAGCCCAAGACGGATGATGTGTTGCCCTGGTTGCTGCTGGAGGAGCTGAACATCAAGCGCTTTTTCGCGAGCCAGCCCGACTTGCTAGCACTCTCCGCCTTGCTCAGAAATGAAGGCTTCGCGGATTCTCGGCATGACATACCCCCGACTTCAAAAAAGGAGCAGCCGCAGGGAATGTCGTGTTTGCAGTTCTTCTGCCGAGAGATTGTCTGTTTTGTTAAGGACTCCCTTCGTGTCTTCCTCACCTCAGCCTTCGATGACACGGACGACCCGGAGTCGCCGTCATGGTGCAAAGCCGAGCTTGGGGAGGAAGCCCTCGGCATTTTCAAAAGCTTCTCCTTCAGAGCCAAGAAGAACTTCGATGCATTCTGTGCGGAGATGAAAACGAACAAGGTCAGGGTGGGCCAGACTTGTTGTACCTTCCCAGCAAGCAAACCTGAGCCTCCACAGCCGCTACTTTCCATCTAATGATAATTGGCAGGCTACGCTTCTGAATGTTGCCCCGGACGTCGATGCATCCCCGGTGAAGCCGAAGCAGCTTTTCGGTGCTTTGGAAAGGAATCACAAACTAATTCAGCTTTAGTCTGGGATCGCTTCACATCGGAGTTGTCCTCTGTGCTGCGTTTGGCACTTTTGCTTCAGTTTTCACGTGTTCCAGTCGTCTAAAGCATGATTGACGTTCGAGTTACCTTAGGTAAGTCTTTCCATTCTTCTCGCTCTTGAGGGATGGGTTGTTTGCAACCCGGAATCGACCTCTGATGTTTCAGACAGACACGGGCACTTCTTAGATTCTTGCTGGAAAAGGTGTTCAATTTGGCCAATATGCAGATCCGAGACTCTGTGCAACCCAGGCGAGCCCACAGAGCCTGGCAGTGGTGCTGTCAAGGAATCTGCTGACACTCGTCTCACAGAAATGTGTTGTGTGGATGCGCGGGTCATCGGAGTGTGTCTGTCCGTGCCAGCTCTTGGAACAAACTGAGGCAAAATCCTTCGAGGACGACTACGCTGAGGAGGAGGCTCTCCGAGTTTGAATACCCCAATGCCCGGACGAGACGACTAGTCTAGGTCACAATATCACTTTGGCTGGCCCATCTCGAAGCTAGACGTGTGGAAGCTCGGGGCCCTGAGTCCTTGGCATGCATGAACGCGCTTCTACGCAATGAGCCGTGTTCAATCTTTCGGGCTTGTCCAGGTCCAGGTCCCTCGCAGACCAACTCCCAAAAAAACATTCTTGAAAACACGTATCCCTAAGAAGACCGATGAGATTACTAACGTACGAACGCAGTCGTTTGATTTGCCGAAGGTGACTTCGCACAATCTTCTTCGGGAACGCGCTTCTTAAGAAAACCTCATTTCAATGATAGAACAAAAGAAAACCAGAAAAGCACCAAAAACAAAAAAAAACAAACAGGCACCTGCCATACTCCCCCACGCGCACTCATCCAGCGAACGCGTTTCTTCGAAGATTCTCGGTCCAGGACTGAGCGGGCCATGGATCGGTGTCTCTAGCGCCTCCACCGGATCTCAGTCCACCGCGGTCAGGCTTGGAGTTGTACAGTGTGGATTAAGACGCCGGTGGCCACTTACGTGGAGGCAAAAGATTAGTGGCTTTGATTGTGCTCAGTTCGTGGCGGTCCGGGGCGAACATGCTTGCACTTGCTTAGTTGTCTTGGTCAATCCTGCCGTGTTTCACTGTGGATTTGGGCTCCATGAGGCCAGGCTGCGGAATGTGGATAGAATGCTTGTTGACTTGTTGATTCTATATCATGAGGCCTGCTGTGGATGTGTATTCCATGCTTTCTCATTGTATGACTAATTCACCTCAAAGCCCTGCCCCCCCCCCCCCCACCCACATTGACCTTGCCGTCGCGGAAGTTGGCATTTTGCCATTTTTGCAACCGCGCACATGCTCGAGCCTGTGCCACAGCCGACACAGTGGCAGGAGGCTCGCTCGCCACGGTAATGGCACCCGAAAGCCCTCAACCCTGAGCCCTCAAATCACCTCGAAAGATCGTCCTGCGTACTCTTCGCTCAGAGAAACTTGCAAATAATGTAGAGTCCGCAAAGCGCAAACCCCCCAATAAGCAGACCTGTTCAGTGTTTTCACCCCCCAATAAGCAAGACTTCTTCAGAGTCTTGACCCCCCCATAAGCAAAACTTAGTCATAGCACTGATCCTCCAAATCCCCCACCAAGCAGAAAGACCTCTTCAGACAGTACACCTCCCGATTCCTTTTCAGATTGCTACACTTCAAAGTGTTCACCCCCCTCAAAGCAATGCCTGTTCAGACCCCTCCAATAAGCAAAGCTTTTCCATAGTACTAGCCCCAGAATAATCAGGACTTCTTCCGAGTGTGCACCCCCCCAATAAGCGAAGCTTATTCGCAGTACCAAAACCTGCACACCCAAGACTTCTTCACAGTCTGCAGCCGCTCAGTAAGCAAGACTTTTTCAGATGTTCACTCCCCAAATCAGCAAAGCTTTTTCGTAGTACGAACCCTCACTCCCCCCGCCAAGCAGCATGGTGCCTTCCAGACTCTCCCATTGGCCAGGTTGTTAACAATGTCTCCAAGCGCCTCGTGGAGTTGCTAGAAAAGCAGGATGCGAAACTGCTTCAAGTAGATGGTGCTTGGCAAGTGGATGAAATCTACGAAGAGACCCACGAGAAGGTGGCAAAGTTGTTCACCTACTTCTTGTCCGAAGATGTGACAAGGAGACAGCTTTTTGAAGCTGTTGCGAGGGCGGAGGACCTGACGGATGCGGTTTTGCCCATTCCACCATTGCCTCTGCCGGCTGCCTTAGAACAGCTGGAGTCTCGACCACAAGCAGCTCAGCAAGAGTCCGCGCCAGAGGGGCAGAGGATGGAGCCGAGTCCGGACTTCAAGTGGCTCTTCATGCAAGTTGAAGCTGATGTGTGGTCCGTTCTGCAGGCCGCACGGAGCATGTGAGGTGTGTGTAGGGGTGTGTTTGTGTGCCTCTGTGTCTGTCTGTTCGTGTAAAAA